TACTACGTTGTGAAAAGTAACATATGTTAAACACACGGTAACGTATGTTATTGTTGATATAGCATGTAATAAACATCATTTAATAAAAACATGGGCAGTGGCTGATATATCTACTTTCTATTTATCTCCTCATTAAATAAATTAGAAATATATGCAATAGGAATAATTTCCATGAATGATAACATTCCTATAGAGAGTCAATGTATGTTAGGATATATGTAAAAATTCATTATAAACATTTTTTTTCCAGTTATGTCAACTATTTCATTAATACACCAGCTTGTGATGAACAACCAAATGCAAACTATCGAAGCACAGTGGAAAACCAAAATTACCCGAGTTCTGGAGGGATTTGCATGATTGAGTGTAAGTTTGATGGAAGTACAATCTAAAAGGCAGTGTACACTGCTCACAGGCTATTAGCAACTATCACAATGTTAAAATAACTGTTAAACGCATAACAATTACTGGATAAAATTTGATTGTATTGCCTCTGAAATTCACTCTTAAGGTAAATGCTGTAGCCATTTTGCAAGACTATCCTTAAATATATGAACTGCATGTGTACATCAGTACGCACACTGATACTCATCAGCGCTATTCAATAAAGATGGACAAATTGATTGTTTTTGATGAAGTTTAAGTAGGCCTTTCCTACAATGGGAGATATTTTAACAGAATTAGTGTAAATGTATTGTAAACATTATTATTATTTCAGCATTGTTAAAATATTGATGCATATCACGTGAATAAAAAGGCAAACTGATCAATTTGCAAGTCTTGGTTCCCATCATTTGCATTGATTTATATAAGGACAGATGATGTTATTCATCAATAGTGATGATGACATTGTTGTGTAATGTTAGACAGTGTTCCAATTTGGTTATCATTTGTGTATGATATTAACATGCTTTTAAAATTAATACTGTACTAAATTAAGTGAATTAGTTGAGTGTGATCTGCTGTAACATCACTTAGCATGGAAACATTTGAGTCCAAAAGTTTAACCAACATTAAGCTACTATCAGTATTTACCATTTACTGTAAATGATGTTTCACAGAATATCACCAGTACAACAATTATTACAAATTACAGTCAACCAATTGCATATCGACAGCAATGAAGACACTTTATTAACATTGTTTTACTATAGGAACATCATTTATATTGCTTTATACACCTGGATAGAGAGAGAGAGAGATACAAGCCAAGATCTAGTGTCTTGTACAAGGACACATGCTGTGTACATTGCCTGGGTTCTTGGACAAGACACTTGCTTGTTTAAATTCCCTAAATAATGTACAGTACTTCTTTTTGATAAGCTGATGTAAAATGTTTAAATATTTTCATTCATATCATGGGCTGTAATTTCAGGACTGGCATAAGTCTGTGTAGATTTGCATCAAAGCTTATAACACAATCCTAAGTATGATTAGTAGGATCATAACACTTAACACAGGCATCTTTTTGGTTTACAGTTCAATATTCTGTTCCAAATATAAACATGGTTGATATTAGTAGAAGTTTCTGGGTGTTCTTTCATTTAACCAACTGCATTTACAACTCTCCTTTTAGGGACCAGGTCTGCCAGGGTATAATGGTTTCTGTAAATAATAAATTGACAATAATTATTTCCTGATAGCCACATTATACTAATGCCCTTGTAAATGATTAGCACTCTACAGTCATTTTTGAAGAACATCCCATTAGAGTAACTGAACCACAATAATCTGGTAGTGTATTGTGTCTGCTTTCAGTAGGTCATGCATACTGTACAACATGTGGATACATATATTATTTATAAAAAAAAATATCTACAGTAACTAGGAAACAAAGAGCAACTTTTAAACAGAAAATTATTTTTTAAAATCTGTGAGATTGAGTTAAAATGTTTGGTTATTAGAATTAACATATTCACAGCACATAGTCAAACAGTCAAAACAAGCTTTTGATATGTAACTTACATTATCATATCCCATGCTGATGAGGTCACCATTGATGACTGGGCTCTGTCAATGAAATAAAGTTGAACAAAGCTGTAAAACAAACCATAATTTAACATTTAGAATTATTACTTAATAAAATAGTACAGTAATTATAATCATAATTTTTCCTCATACAAAAACTAATTATTCGCTCAAATGGTTAAGAAAAATTGTTAAATTTTAAATTACAGTTTGAGAATACAAAGGGGATAATTAGAGGGCCACCACTGGTATACACCAGCCTCTTGCACCACTTTTTTAGTGTGGTGTACAGTGAGAAATTCAATCAATCAAGTGCCTAGCCTAGGGTTAGTGTAGGCCTAGATAGTGTAGGCTCTCTGTAGGCGTCATGCTATTCAGTAGCATACTACTGACTCTAGGCCCGTGTAAATTTGTTATCTGCTACGCTGTCTTTGGCCCTCTTTCTTGTTAATGTTACAGTAGTGTTATCCGATTAGCTAGCCTACCCTAGGCTAGATACCTAGCTACTTTAGACGGCCTAGGCTTCGTAGCTAGTAGTCTGGGACCAGACAGGCTAGCTTAGCTAGGCCTAATAACGTAACATATACAGTATACGATCTTGAGGCCTTTTTTCCTATTCCTATTAATATTCTGTCTTAAATACACGAAATATACTTATCTTGGATTGTGATAAAATATAGGTTGAAGACTGACGACATTATGCAGCTGCTATTGTCGAAAAAACCCTGTTGTCCTCAGCAACTACTTCTTTGAAAACTAAACTCCACATTGCATCTCTAAACTTCACGGGACCCAACTTCGCAAATGCCACCCCCGTCCCCCAGTAATGGCGCCGACAATAGAGGGCGACACTCAAAAATGTTCTCTTTGGATATATATATGGAACGCCGTTACTGCCTTTGGTGGCTCTTTTCCGTTCGGCGCATTTGCTATTCGGCCCTTTTGCTATTCGGCCCTTTTAACATTATGTTTGGTGCTTTTACATTACGTTCGGTGCTTTTTACATTACGTTCGGTGCTTTTTAGATTACGTTCGGTGCTTTTTACATTACGTTCAGTGCTTTTAACATTACGTTCGGTGCTTTTACATTACGTTCGGTGCTTTGAACATTACGTTCGGTGCTTTGAACATTACGTTCGGTGCTTTTAACATTACGTTCGGTGCTTTTGCTGCACTTCGGCTCTTTTATCATTACGTACGGTTCTTTTATCATTCGGTGCTTTCATGACCTTTGACATCGGGTCAAGTGGAAAAAAATCAACGGCTGTGGGAATGAGCCTAGTGGAAAGTCGCGTGTAACAAAGCATATTCGGCATGTGATTATCTTAGTGATAAAATAATAACTAACGAAAACAAAAATGTCTCGATCAATCAAAACAGTATTAGAAGACCTGGATCTACATTTTCTTGTCCCTAAGTTTGAAAGGGAAAGGGTACGTTCTAGTTTTTTCCTGGTATATTTGGGCAAATAGAAATATAAGATTATCTCTATAGACCTAGTATAGAAAACAAAAATAACTAGGGGGGGGGGACTCTTCTTTATTCCGGATATGAAGCAGGCTTATTTAAATAAAAGAAACGTAATTAATTAATTAATTACAGGTAACCAAACGAGTCCAAACAAGTCCGATCCCATTTTTGGCTTACATAATAAATAAAAGTTAAACTCAAAATTTTCCCCCTACATTGATTTATTTTCCCCTCCCTTTACTGTCCGGTCGTTTTACAAATGCTCCTTCCGTGGTTATCTCGTATTTTTATATTGGTAATTATTTTTTTGTCTTTTTATTTTGTCTACCTTTTTAATATTATATAATATATATTTTATTCTTACTTCTTTAATTCATACGCAATTCAGCCTTTGTTGCTGCTATGTATGTTTTTGATGTTGAATTTTTAATAAATATACCTCAAATAAATAATAAAAACTTAGCATTTATATTACAACAATGATACACATTTGCAGGGGTCCCAAGTTGGAAAAAGGCAATTCGTGAAACAGGGGTGGAGCCAGTGCAGTGGGAGGGTACAGGGAGAACACCCATCTTTTGGGGAGAAAATCCACAATTCCACATTTAGAACTCCCGATCTACGGCCAATTTGTTTCCGTCTTGCAGGCATCTGATACCATTTAAATTGTTATTTAGGGCCTACCATGCTGTATATTTGCCTTTACAGCATTATTATTATTTATTATTAATTAATTATTATTATTATTATTATTTATACATGTACA